GATCTTGGCTCACTGCAATCGCTGCCTCCCAGGTTCAAGCGATTCTCCTGCCTCAGCCTCCCGAGTAGCTGAGATTACAGACATGTGCCACCATGCCCGGCTAATTTTTTGTATTTTGTTTTAGTAGGGATGGGGTTTCTCCATGTTGGTCAGGCTGGTCTCGAACTCCCAACCTCAGGTGATCTGCCCACCTCAGCCTCCCAAAGTGCTGGGATTACAGGTGTGAGCCACCGTGCCCAGCCTGCTGTTTTCTATTGCATTGCACCACATTGCCAAAAGTGTAGTTATTAAGCCCATTCAACAATATGTTGTTAACAAAAAAAAACAAACTAAAATATTTTTAAAAGGTTTATTCTGAGCCAATATGAGTAACCATAGCTTGGGGAAACACAGTCTTAAGAGGTCCTAGGAAATTGTGCCTGAGGTGGTCAAGTTATAATTTGGGTTTTCTTTCTTTTTTTTTTTTGAGACGGAGTCTCGCTTTGTCACCAGGCTGGAGTGCAGTGGCACGATCTCGGCTCGCTGCACCCTCTGCGTCCCAGGTTCAAGAGATTCTCCTGCACATGCCACCACACCCAGCTAATTTTTATATTTTTAGTAGAGATGGAGTTATACCATGTTAGCCAGGATGGTCTCAATCTCTTGACCTCGGGATCTGCCCGCCTTGCCCTCCCAAAGTGCTGGGATTACAGACATGAGCCACCGCGTCCCACCTATAATTTGGTTTTTCTTGAGGGTTGCTTTTGTTTTGAGACAGAATCTTGCTGTTACCCAGCAGGCTGGAGTGCAGTGGTGCCATCATAGCTTATTGTCATCTTGAACTCCTAGGCCCAAGATATCCTCCCAAGTAGCTAGGATTACAAGGCATGTACCACCATGCCAGGCTAATTTTAGGGGGAAAAGGGGCTAGAGATGATGTCTCACTACGTCACCCAGGGTGGTCTCAAACTCCTGGCGTCAAGTGATCCTCCTGCCTTGGCCTCCCAAAATACTGGGATAACAGGCATGAGCCACCGAGCCCACCCCACAGTTTGGTTTCATACATTTCAGGGAGACAGTAGTTACAGACAAATACATAAACAAATACATGAAAGGTATACATTAGTTTGGCCCAAAAAGGCAGGATACCTTGAAGCACGGGATCAGAGTTTATAGGTGGATTCAGAGATTCTTTAATTTGCAATTGGTTAAAAGAGTAAAGTTTAGTCTAAAAATTTGGAGTCAGCGGGCGGGGCGCAGTGCCTGTAATACCAGGACTTTGGGAGGCCAAGGTGGACAGATCACAAGGTCAAGAGATTGAAACCATCCTGGCCAACATGGTGAAACCCCGTCTCTAATAAAAATACAAAAATTAACCAGGCATGGTGCCGTGGGACTGTAGTCCCAGCTACTTGGGAGGCTGAGGCGGGAGAATCACTAACCCAGGAGGCCTAGGTTGCAGTGAGCAGAGATTGTGCCACTGCACTCCAGCCGGGCAACAGAGCAAGGCCCTGTCTCAAAAAAAAAAAAGAAGAAGAAAAGAAAAAAACTGGAATCAGCAGAAAGAAATGTTTAAGATGTTTAAGACAAGGAAGTCTGTTAGCCAATACATTGGGTTGGAGTGACCTCTAAAGGTGTGTGACTTAACTGTCATATGACATAGCCTTAAGTCCTGTTTATAATTTGGTACCTTATTTACACAAAGAGTGCATTTTGCTAAGCTTATGCTCTTTATTTCAACATTAATGCTGGTCAGTTGTTGTGCTTAAACACCAAAAGAGGGGGACATAACAAGATGTGCTTCTGCAAAAAACTAGCCAGGCGAGGTGGCGGGCGCCTGTAGTCCCAGCTACTCGGGAGGTTGAGTCAGGAGAATGGCGTAAACCCAGGAGGCAGAGCTTGCAGTGAGCTGAGATCCGGCCACTGCACTCCAGCCTGGGCGGCAGAGCGAGACTCCGTCTCAAAAAAATAAAAAATAAAAAATAAAAATAAATAAAAATTAAAAAAAAATAAGATGTGCTTCTGACCTCCCTTACTGTCATGGCTGGAAATTCAGTTTTTTAGGTTTTGTTTGTTTGGGCTTTTTGTTTTGTTTTGTTTTTGAGACCGAGTCTCACTCTGTTGCCCAGGCTGGAGTGTGGTGGCACGATCTCAGCTCACTACAAGCTCTGCCTCCCGGGTTGCAGTGATTCTCCTGCCTCAGCCTCCCAAGTAGCTGGGACTACAGGCACACGCCACCACGCCTGGCTAATGTTTGCATTTTTTAGTAGAGACAGGGTTTCACTATATTGGCCAGGCTGGTCTCGAACTTCACCTTGTGATCCAATCGCCTCGGCCTCCCAAAGTGCTGGGATTACAAGCGTGAGCCACCGCACCCGGCCCAGTTTTTTGTTTTTTGGGTTTTTTTGAGACCAATATCACTCTGTCGCCCAGGCTGGAGTGCAGTGTTGGCGGGATCTTGGCTCACTGCAACCTCCGCCTCCCGAGTTCAGGCCGATTCTCCTGTCTCAGCCTCCTGAGTAGCTGCGATTACAGGCGCATGCCACCACACCCGGCTGATACTTGTTTTTTTAAGTAGAGACGGGGTTTCCCCATGTTGGCCAGGCTGGTCTCGAACTCCGGACCTCAGGTGATCCACCCACCTCGGCCTCCCAAAGTATTGGGATTACAGGCGTGAACTACCGCGCCCGGCCAGAACACTGGCACTTCTCATAACAAATGAACGCGATTTATGTATATCTAAGCCGCGGCACATTGGACGTCGGTATCCCGGACATCAGCATCCGGGACACAGCTCCCAAACCCCAAATTCCCCCATTTTATTGATGGTAACAGGCCAGGGAAGGGAAAACTTCCTTTGGGCTTTGACTATCAACGACTTTAGGGTTGAAATCGTGGGCTGAGGGTGAACGCCACGCCTCATTCTGATGGGTCCAAGAGCCGAAATTTCGGCTTCTAGCACTCTGCTCACCCAGCTCTCCAAATTCCCCCATCATTCCTCTTTCCAGTCCTTTGGCCCTGAGCCCTTGCTAGTTGGCTAAGAATAAACTCGTCTCTTGCTCGGGATTCGCTGTGAGCTCCGGAGAGCCCGCCTCCGTTCTCCCGTGATTCGCTACTCCTGTGTTCATCCGCCACTCCGTCGACGAGATTGGGTGCTTGGCCGTCCCCGCGCCATTAGCGCGTAACGAGGTACAGCTTGCTGCGGCAGAGACGCCAGAGGTGCAGCTCCAGCAGCAATGGCAGTAACGGCGTTGGTGGCGCGGACGTGGCTTGGCGTGTGGGGCGTGAGGACCATGCAAGCCCGAGGCTTCGGCTCGGATCAGGTACGCTGCGGCAGTGTCCGCTGCTCCAGCCCCGAGGGCGGATCCCATCTTCGCTTCCCTACTTTTATCAGTGTCCCTGTCTCTCTGCAGTCCGAGAATGTCGACCGGGGCGCGGGCTCCATCCGGGAAGCCGGTGGGGCCTTCGGAAAGAGAGAGCAGGCTGAAGAGGAACGATATTTCCGGTGAGGCTCACCGGGTCCCAAGTCCAGCCCTAGATCTCCCAGGGCCTTCCAATCCTTAAACTGCCAGTCGCCCCACCCGTTTCCTTGGTGCCTTGGGCGCCCCATCCCCCAACAGAACTCCCGGGCCCCAATCTGGTATACCCTAACCCTTGATGTCCCAAGTTGCCACTTATAGGGCACTCCCAGTTCCCTGCACAACAGTTTCAGGCCCCAAAACCATTTCTACCGGCAGGTCTCCAAAACATCCCACGGCTCAACTCCTCCTTTGTCATTACCATCTCCCGCGTGGAGTTCTCCTCGGGTGGTGCGAAACGCCCCCAGATTCTTCGCACAGTATCTAGATCCGACCGTCTAACACTTGCCTCCCAGCCTGACTCCCTCGGCCCTCACCCACCTGTCACCCCCTCTACGCTCTCCTTCCTCCCCAGCACGCCTTAGCTTTGCAAGCCTGCATGCATTCAGGCTTCTCAGGTGTTTCTAGACCCCCGACTCCGCAAGAGTGAGGATCATGGGAGCTGGTCATGGGAGCTACTTAGGGTTGGACTACACCATCTCCTAAAGGCTTTTGCCCTACTCAGCCCAGCCTAGATCTGTGGATTTCCCGCTCCTGCTTAGAAGTATGGAGTGGGCTGGGCCTCCCTTTACCAGCCCTGAGTTATCTTTAACTGACTTCTGTCCACTCTGGAGAGCAGTGAGGAATTAATCTTGCTTTTGCTTGTCCTTTGGCCTTTCACTTCTGCCTTCTGTTGAGAATTATCACCATGACACCTGCCATACCGTATAGAGAGCCAAGGTACTGCTGTTAGAGACTATCTAATTGATCCCCTTCATTTTGTAGTTAAGGAAAACTGAGGCCTAAATGTGGCCAAACCAACATTGTAATCCAGTCCCTTCTTGGTACCTAAATTGAACTGCCAAATACTGCCCATGCAGGAGACCTTTTATTGGCCTTACAGCGGGCCATTCATTTCTATAGGCAAAGAAAGCTCTAGACAGATTGGAATAGGAAATGGATATTGGCCTTTTAACCACACCCCTTTGTCCCCATTTTGTTCCTTTTTTTTTTTTCCCCCCTAAAGGGGTTCCCTGGGTTGTTCCCCTCATAAGGTATTAGGGACTTGTGTCACATCTCTCTGGAGTTTTCTATTTTAAAGAGGAATCTGAAAGCAATAAGATCTTAATGATGGAATTTAAGCCACTAGCACCAGTGAAATCATTTTGATCTTCTTAAGATGACTACACCTCAATTTAAGATGGGTTATTCTTTCACTAGTTGAGGAGTAGAAGAGGATGACCAGCCAGACTCCCATGGAACTGGGACTCCTATTCCTTGCTTAGACATTACGGGTTATGCTTAGAGATCTCTTTGGGGTGAAGGATTGAAATTAAACCCTGAGCCACCGTGTCCTTGTAGAGCACAGAGTAGAGAACAACTGGCAGCTTTGAAAAAACACCATGAAGAAGAAATCGTTCATCATAAGAAGGAGATTGAGCGACTGCAGAAAGAAATTGAGCGGCATAAACAGAAGATCAAAACGCTAAAACATGATGATTAAGTGCACACAGTTCCCCATAGAATGGCACATGTCACTGCCCACTTCTGTGTAGACATGGTTCTGGTTTAATTAATATTTGTCTGTGTGCTACTAACAGATTATAATAAATTGTCATCAGTGAACTGTGTTTGATGCCTTCTTCTATCTGGAAGAGATAGACGGAAAGACACTAATGGACTGCTGAAATGGATTAGAGGGGTCCCTGCATCCAGGAGCCCACAGAAACGCACAGTGTGATAAGTGCTATGAAACAACACGAGTTGGGGGGATAGGTGTGACACAGACAAGGTACCCCCCCAGTCTAATTAGAGGTGTTCAGAGAAAGCTTCTTGAAGGATAAATCCCAATCTAAAGCATAAAGATCAGGAGGAGCCTGGAGATCCGAAGGAGTCATTGCTTCAAAAGATACAATTGGGCCAGGGGCGGTGGCTCATGCCTGTAATCCCAGCACTTTGGGAGGCCAAGGTGGGCGGATCACCTGAGGTCAGGAGTTCAAGACCAGCCTGGCCAAAATAGTAAAACCCCGTCTCTACTAAAAATACAAAAATTAGCCAGGTGTGGTGGCATGCACCTATAGTCCTAGCTACTCAGGAGGCTGAGGCAGGAAAATCAGTTGAACCTGGGAGGTGTAGGTTGCAGTGAGCTGAAACTGTGCCACTGCACTCTAGTCTGGGTGACAAAATGAGACTCCGTCTCAAAAAAAAAAAAATACAATTGAAAGTACCATCAGTTAAAACAGCATTTTGCATGTTTAAAATGGTTTAGAGGAACCTAATATGAGCTAGTCATCCATGTTCTAATTTTGTAGATTGAGAGAACTAGAATTAGAAATCATGTGATTTATACAGTCACTTAGCACCTTGGCAGTAAGACTTGTGTCCAGGTTTTTTGACTCCTAAACCAAGTCTGTTAATAGCAGAAAATCAGAATTATTTCTTAGGTTATATTTTGCTTTGCCAAGTGTGTTTTTGTTTCAAATTAGACTTGAGGGCCTAGTATAACTAAATTATTATACAAACTAGTTGTGTAACTCCTCTAGGCAAAAAAATTTGAGGTGACATTTGGGCCATTAGCAAAATGTTTTCAGTTCACCAGTTCAGTAGAGTATTTGCCCAGGATTGTAATGAGTTATTTGTTCTAAGACCCTATCTATCTCACAAGGGCCTCTAGGACCATTGAGTGATAAAAGCTTGGAGAAGTTGCATTGACCTTGTCCATACAGACAAAATACTAGATGATTTGACCTGCCCATGAAACTGAACACAGCCAGGTGTGGTGGTGTGTGCCTGTGGTTCAGCTACTTGGCAGTCTGAGGCAAGACGACTGCTTGAGCCCAGGAGTTCCAGACATGCCTGGGCAGCGTTTTAACCCCATCTCTTTTAAAAAAGAAAAAAAAAAAAAGAAACTCTAAACTTTGAATTATAATGATTATAATGTTGCTGAATCTCAGTTCTTACTGAGGCCTCAGTAGTGCCTTGCAAGTGGCCAGCAACAAAATAACCTGAAAAGATGAAGTTCAAAAAACAATCATACTAAATCAAATGCCTTTTATTTTAACATTATTAACAGTACAACACTTGAAAAGTTTAAAAATTGGAAACAAGTATTAGCAAACATCCTTCATTTTGCATATTTGTAACCAAAAAAAGGTATACAAAATCCCCTAATTTGTACATGATAGTGTTTTCTTGACTTATAATCAACAATTGCCTTACTAAGAGTGATGTTCCTGAATTGTTTCTTCAGTAAAGGTGTACCATAGGCTGTGTGCCATGGCTCATGCCTATCATCCCAGCACTTTGAGAGGCTGAGGTGGGTGGATCACCTGAGGTCAGGAGTTCAAGACCAGCCTGGCCAACATGGCAAAACACCATCTCTACTAAAAATACAAAAATTAGCCGGGTGTGGTGGTGGGCACCTGTAATCCCTGCTGCTAGGGAGGCTGAGGCAGGAGAATCATGAACCTGAGAGGCAGAGGTTGCAGTGAGCTGAGATTGTGCCGCTGTACTCCAGCCTGGGAGACAGAGTGAAACTCCATCTCAACAACAACCAAAAAAAGATTAAATAGGCTAATTTAAATATATCTGAACTTTGTGAAAATGGTAACTCATGAACTTTTTGTTATGATATACCTGTGGTTAATTTTTCTATCATGCTGCAGTAAAAGCAAGATGTAAATACTGAGTAATGTCACAAACATGTTTGAATCCTAAAAGAATTTATGTGACATGAGCCAGTAACCACAGAACGAATAGCACAGGTCATAGGTGGTTCTTAGAATCAGGATAATTTGGAAAGTACTACAGCAGTGGTTCCATAAGCCAGCAGTGTCAGCATCACCTGGGAACTTGTTAGAAATGCAAATTCTCAGCGGGGCGTGGTGGCTCATGCCTGTAATCCCAGCATTTTGGGAGGCTAAAGTGGGTGGGTCACAAGGTCAGGAGTTTGAGACCAGCCTGGCCAATATGGTAAAACCCCGTCTCTACTAAAAATCCAAAAATTAACTAGGCATGGTGGCGGGCGCCTGTAGTCCCAGCTACTCAGGAGGCTGAGGCAGAAGAATCGCTTGAACCCGGGAGGCGGAGGTTGCAGTGAGCGAAGATCGCGCCATTGCACCTGTCTCTTATACACATCTAGATGTGTATAAGAGACAGTCTCTGGAGTTTTCTATTTTAAAGAGGAATCTGAAAGCAATAAGATCTTAATGATGGAATTTAAGCCACTAGCACCAGTGAAATCATTTTGATCTTCTTAAGATGACTACACCTCAATTTAAGATGGGTTATTCTTTCACTAGTTGAGGAGTAGAAGAGGATGACCAGCCAGACTCCCATGGAACTGGGACTCCTATTCCTTGCTTAGACATTACGGGTTATGCTTAGAGATCTCTTTGGGGTGAAGGATTGAAATTAAACCCTGAGCCACCGTGTCCTTGTAGAGCACAGAGTAGAGAACAACTGGCAGCTTTGAAAAAACACCATGAAGAAGAAATCGTTCATCATAAGAAGGAGATTGAGCGACTGCAGAAAGAAATTGAGCGGCATAAACAGAAGATCAAAACGCTAAAACATGATGATTAAGTGCACACAGTTCCCCATAGAATGGCACATGTCACTGCCCACTTCTGTGTAGACATGGTTCTGGTTTAATTAATATTTGTCTGTGTGCTACTAACAGATTATAATAAATTGTCATCAATGAACTGTGTTTGATGCCTTCTTCTATCTGGAAGAGATAGACAGAAAGACACTAATGGACTGCTGAAATGGATTAGAGGGGTCCCTGCATCCAGGAGCCCACAGAAACGCACAGTGTGATAAGTGCTATGAAACAACACGAGTTGGGGGGATAGGTGTGACACAGACAAGGTACCCCCCCAGTCTAATTAGAGGTGTTCAGAGAAAGCTTCTTGAAGGATAAATCCCAATCTA